ATTGCTAACCAACCATTTTTCTTTTCAAAATAAACACTATTTCTCTCAACTTCAGTTTGCAAAATATTACCCCAATTCCATTGGACTAAAAAACTGGAATTTTACTGACATAATTGGATTATGAGGTTTAAAGATTGATGGAACTTTTCTGTTCCAAATATAATTGTTCAAATACCAAACCTAAACGGGTATGTTGAAGCCCTTGCATAGCGAGAGCCAGAGAAACACTGCAAGCCCACGGCAGGGCGGCTCAGCAGAGGGGGTCAAGAAGCTACCAAAACCCCAGGGAAGTGAGCTGTATTATGAGAGGATCTGTGCATGTTGGGGAACATGTCACCTGCAGCCACAGCTTATGAAAATGAAGCCTGCTTCAGTCACTCTCGTTCACTCTATACCTGCTCATTTCTCAGGTGTCACCCCAAGCATCAACGACCTTGACAGCCCGTTCAGGTATTACAGCACTTGACATACTCTGCTGTAATTCATCTGAGCGTGAGTCTCCCGAGGAGAAACAGCAGAGTACTGAACAATAAAGGCTGGCCCTTACTTGTCTTTGTATTTCCAGTGACTAACTTATTACTTGTCATATGATATATACAGGTATACGAGTATAATAATTTATGTAAATAAGTGTATACAGGAGAGAAGAAGGGGGAAAAGAATTAGAAGGTTTTATTTAGGAATTTGTGGAATATGTGTTAATTTATTCACAGCACATGTTTATAGTGTGCTCTGGAACTCATTCCTAGTTTTTCTGACATCCCTGGGAAAGTCAATATGCATGAAGCCCCCGTGAAGGGACTGAACGGAACCTGAGGAGAAGAAATCACTGTATCCCAGGTCCTTGTCCCAAGCTCCTCTCTCCTCCATTTCGAGTCCATGCCTGACTGCTGTTCAACACTGGGTTCCTGCTCTTCTGCAGTGATGGCAAGCGCCACGAGAACAGAGACCACAGCTACATCTGTTCACTGTTGATTCCCCACTGCCCGTGGATGGTGTTCAGTAAATGTTCATTAGTTGAAAAAATTAATAAATCTATCACAAGACCAGTTAAAGAGAAGGGAAAGGTAATCAAATCCAAATACTTCAGCACACTATGGACTTCTCTTTACATTTTTCATTATAAAAAATAAAAATTTGACCATGACTATACGGCCACATGAATTAAGCCTGGCACCTCCCCAGGCGTGTGGGTCAGGAGGTGAGAGGGCTGTGCAGGTGAAAGTCGGCATCCCAGCCCACCAAGACAGTGACGCTGGCACTCCCGTTCGTGCCTTCGCTTTCCGCCATCTGTGGGTATTTCCAGAAATTATCTAGTTTTGCTAAACTAACCTTTACAGCGTAGGCAACTGGCTAAAAAACATTATTGCAAAGATCCACACATTACAGATAAACTAAACTAATAATAATAACACTACCAAAACCAGGACATATCTTCCTCTCCTAATATGAATTCATAATCAGTCACGTTATGACTTCAAAACAGTGACTGTCGTCCTGTCTGCGTCGCTCAGTTGATCGGAGTGCTGTTTTGTATCCCAAAAGGTTATGGATTTGAATCCCGTCGGGGCACACATGGGAAGCAACTGATCGATGTCTGTCTGCCTGTCTCTCCCTTTATCTCTCCCCTCCCCCACCTTCCTCAGTCAAATCAATAAAAACATATCGTCAGGTGTGGAGTAAAAACAAATGACTATCAATCATATACTACTGATAAGATATTTGGACAAAATTAAACACAACCTGTCCCCTCAAAGTAAAGGTAATGTTTTAACAATAAAAAAAAGACATTAAAAATTGAACAAAAAACTCAAGTACTTAAAGATAAAATTTTAAAAATAAATGTTTTAAAATGTTTCCAATGTTATACAATTTGGGAGCCTAAAATGATCTAAGTGTATAAACTTTAAAACTACTTGTATCCGTATAGTTACACACCCTAACAGAATTTTCTAACTAGTGTTAAAGATGCCAAGTGAAGAATACCCAAGGATTATGAACCCATCTTTTAAAAAATCCAACAATGCAGCACCTTTCAGTTATCCTACAAGAACTGACATGAAAGATAGAAATTAGCTGGACTGCAAAATGAATCTGAATATAATCAACGAACAGGGTTAAAAAATGAGTACCGTGATCTAGTAAGTTCAGGTATCTTTTTCAGTTATGGTAATCACTAAAAGCAAAACTAAGTATCGAATTTACAGAACTTATAATCAGAGCTTTTCATTTCCATATCATAAGTTGTTAAAGCAAAATTTAAAAAAATAAAGAATATTCAGTCATGTTACTTTAATTGAAAATAAAATTAATATGAAGTTTTCTATACCTTTTTAAAGTAAAATGAAAATATTTAAAATTTTATTTCATTTTTCTACTTTTATGTAAATTTACAATGCACATAATAAATTAGTAAAATAGCCAGTATGCTTATAATTTTAAAATGAAGAGACATACATTACTGGGAATGCATGTTCAGCACATTTAGGGATTATTACTTTAGGGCATCAGGAAGCAGTGAAAGATTTTAGGCCAAAGGAGTAAAAGAAAATCAGATCTGAACTTCAGAAACATAACCCAAGAGATAATAGGTGTAGAGAAAGTGCCTGGAGGTTAAAGAGATTTTTAAAAATCCCTTTTACTAACTATGCTAACAGCAGAGAGCATCCCATCTGCCCCCTGTATCTCAGGAGCCCTTCGCCAAAGAAAAAGGCAGAGAGCTGCCCCGAAGGGGGACTGAGAACAACACTGGGCTCCACAACTGCTAAGTGCCTTATTACTTATCTTCAGGCCAGGAGTCAGACTAGAAGTGACTGAGCATCTCTCTTCTCTCTCTCTCTCTTTTTGAAGATTTTACTTATTTCTTTTTAAAGAGAGAGGAAAGGGGGGAGAAAGAAAGGGAGAAAAACACCAATCAGACGAGAGCCATTGATCAGATGCCTCTTGCACATGCCCCAACCAGGGATGGGGATGGAACCCACAACCCGGGCACGTGCACTGATGGGGAAGAACTGGCCACCCTTAGATCTGTGGGACAATGCCCAACCAATGAGCCACACCAGTCAGGGAAGAGCACCCCTCTTTTCTGACAGTCCCATTTAAAATTTTTACAAGTTACAAATTATTTTTAACTAATTTGAATAATAGAGGAATTTATCAAATGAAAAGCATAATATTGTCTACTACTCTACTGAGTCCATACACTGTCAAAACCATAGAGAAAGGTCTGGATTTCCTTTCCTCCCAGGAATTTCTAATGCATATATACTTTAATGTGTACACATATATGCATATACCATTATACAGATTTGTTATTTGACTACATAAAAGATAGGCTCACATTCACACTGCTCTGAAACCTCTGCCTTTCCCTCTGCTACCATTTTAGGGCCGCGCACATGGATCCAGCTCCGTTTCTGCAGCCGTGGGCAATGCTATCTTACTGACACGACACGGGTTATTTAACCGTGTTCACTGACAGGCAGCAGCAGCAGCGTCTTTACCGTAAGGCAGTAATGAACACAGATCCCTGTACACTTCTTTGAGTAGGATGGATTCCCAGAAGTGGAGTTTTGGGGTGAAAGGGTAGGTACGTTTAAAATGTTGACAGCAACTACAGAATAACTATACTAACACATTTCAAACAATAAAAGTCCAGCCATTCATTATGACCTTTTCTCATTAAATTTTTTACAGATTCCTAGATTTAGGAAAAGATCTCAGAAAATAATCCCCTCAACTTGTATCTGAGAAAACAAAGGTTTACGAAGAGTAAGGTTATAGGCCATGCTCTCAAGGCCACTGAAATGAGATAACAGACCAGCGGGAGTTCCAAGAACAGCCGCCACTGCTGAGGGCCAGGGCAGCAGTTTCGGTTAAAGAACCTCAAATGCAACGTGTTCCACCAGACCGACTAACAACTAGGAAAGGGAACTAAGAGTCATCTCCTTTCCCTTGCTTACCCTCAGCAAGAAAAGTAAAAAAAGGCAGCAAATTCCTAAAAGACACAATAGCAACAGGGAGCACGGAAGGAGGACACTCAAACTCGGTGGAGGAAGAGCCGAAGGTATCGTAAGTTCAGCTGCATGGAGTGAGCAAGTGCGGTGGAAAAGACTTTGACACGGGATGACCTTAGCAAAAAACCTTCCATGGCCTCAGTGGGTTGTATGAAAAGTTTCTTGGTTCTAAATATCTCCATGTGGCATCCAAAATGAATGCCAGTACTGAAACCAAATTCTAAAGAGAAATATCAGAAAAGAACTAACATCCCACAATGAAGAAACATCTTCAAAGAAGATGTTGTTATAAAAATACCACAAAAGTACTTTCCAACAAATTCCAGACCTAAAAGTAAAGCTTTAAAATGAAGCTCCAAGCACAGAGTCTTGAATCCTTTGCTCTGTGCCTGAAGAGGCCCATTTAAAGGAAGGCACTTCTAACCAGATAACACTGTCTTCACTTGAGCAGACCTACAGGGCAGGGAATGTAAAAGGAAGGCGGCAACCATGCCTTTTGAAATCAGGATGGCCTAGAGCAGGGTCAGCACACTTTTTCTATAAAGGGCCAGAGAGCAAATATCTTAGGCTTTGCAGGACACAGGTCTTTGTTGCAACAATTCGGCTCCGCTGTTATAGTGTAAAAATACACCCACAGATAATATATAACTGAATAAAGCATGGCTGTGTTCCAATGCAACTTTATGAATGCTGAAGTTTAAATTTCACATAGTTTTCCTTGAAGATTACTCTCGTTTTAATTTTTTCCAACCACTTAAAATATAAAATAATTCTTAGCTCACTGGCTGCACATAAATAGGCAGTGGGCTAGACTGAGCTGGTGGGCCATAATTTCACAACCTCTGGTACAAAGCACTTAATTATCAACTAAACTGAACATGAATGCTGATGGAAAAATGGAGACATCTGAGCCCAGCTCCCAGGAAAGTTAAGTTAGAAGGCACAAAGGTATAAACACGTCTTTAAAGAGCTTCACATATTTACCTTAAATCTCTTCTCTTGCTGAATTCCTCTGGTGGTATTGTCCAGGGCAAGCTCTGAGGGAGACATTCTAGAACTTCCGAAGAGAAATCAGAGAAGTCCACACCATACTCTGTCAGTATCCCTTCTGTCTCAGGCTCGATCTCACCAGCCTGCCCAAGACTCTTAGCCAGCTGCCTGTGGACAGGACAGAAAGGGAGATAAGTGTGTCAAGGAGTAAACAGAAGACAGGTGTCCATTTCCTCTCTAAAACTGAGGGGAGTGGGAAAGTCTTCGAAACCTCCTGCCCTTGACCCTGCAGCAGCACCATTGCCAGCGAGCGGGGGCCCAGCGGAAGAGACAATGATACTCTTTTCCTGTTAAATCCATGCTACAGTGGAATCTTACCTTTCTTCAGGACTTCTGACCTGGGGAGTGGGGCCAGACAGCTTTCCTTAGGACTTCCACAATAGTTTTTCGTGGGGAAGTCAAATTGACATTGTTAAAAGCTTTTGTCAATTTTTTCTATCACAAACACCTTTAGAGACAACGCTGATGGACCCAATTTGCTGTTCAATCATTACTTTCATAGTGCCCATGCCTTAGGTCATGCTCACTAGATGAGATTCAATGATTTCATTTTGTAATTCTATAGATGTTTACCTTAATATTTTAAAATATTTTATTTAAACTCAAAAGTAATATATGTTCACTGTAGAGAAGTTGCAAAATACAGAAATGTGCTGAGATGAAAATGATTTGTAATCCAGTTTCTTGGCAAAATTCTATTCACAATTTAGGGTGCTGGTCCATTAAACGTAAGACTGCATTTAAGGGGATACTTCTAACATTGATAGCATGGTTCCACCTTCCAGGGGGCAGATCCCACTCTTTACCTAGGAATCTTCTATACGTATGTCACAACTGACAGCTCCACTCTCATCAATACCGGCCTACCACAAACAGACTGCAGGTCTAAAGTTATATGTTGAATACAGACGGCCAATAAGACATGCGACATATGAAGTGGATGCCTTTGTAGAGGATTTTGAGGGAACGAAGATGGCCACCTCCTCTTTTCTGCAGGTCTACCAGGGTGATCCAGGAATCCACCCTCAGGTCTTCCAGCAAGGAGTTTAGGTCTGCCATTAGGCCTTCTCTAGGGTCATTCAATTTCTTTGAAGATTATTCTGCTTCCTCTGTAAAGGCAGATGTCTGGTCGCCAACGTTGGCGGGGTGGTGAAGGGTATGGTTGCCTTGGATACAGACCTTTAACAAATTCCCCGAGAACATGGCTGGGGTGGGAGCAGGACTGGCCCCATTTCTCACACACCAGCCAAGAGAGCCAAGCCCACACTGACACATACATACAGTACATACACCTGCCCTGGCAGCCTGTGGCCCCCTCACCTACAACGTGGGCTCAGATCAGTGTCTTCTCCTCAAACCTAGATAGTGATCTCCTAGGAAGCACATCAAAAAGCCAGAGACAGAAAAAATGCAAGGTAAAAAATCACAAACAGCTGCCTGGAAAATCCACAAATATTTGGAAATCAAAAATAAAACAAACCAACAAAAAACCCCAAACAAGCAAACCCCCCCCATGGATTAAAGAAATAAAAAGAGAATTGGAACTGAGTAAAATATAACATCAATATTTGTGAAAGACAGCTAAAGCAGTGTTTTCAGGAAAATTTACAGCATTAAACGTTCATATTAGAGAAAGAAGAAATGTGTCAAATCATTGATCTAAGCTTCTTCCTTAAAAAATGAAAGAGAAAAGCAAACTATTGGGTTGGTCAAAATGCCATTACATTTTTAGATACAATGGTTCTTGCAGCATGTAGTTGTCTTTAACTTCATTTGAAACAATTTTGTTAGACTGCATTGTGACAGCTGTCATTATCAGCATGCACTTTTTAAAAACTTACCAAAACTGGTACATTTTTGTGCATTTTAATATTGATGATGGAAGAAGATATGCAACATTTTCAGTATAATATGCTTTAGTATTTCAAGAAGGTAAAAATGCAACTGAAATGCAAAAGTAGATTTGTGCAGTGTATGGAGAAGGTGCTGTGACTGACTGAACATGTCAAAAGTGGCATGTGAAGTTTCTTGGTACTACTGACATTGTGGCCAAATAGTTCTGTGCTGTGGGCTGTCTCATGCATTGGAAGATGTTAAGCAGCACCCCTGGCCTCTACCCAACAGAAGCCAATAGCGGGAAACAGCTGACATACTCAAAATATCCAAATCAAGAAAATTATTGGTGAAAATGAAAAATGTCTTTTACAGAAAAAACGTTAACAAACTTTTTGGCCAACCCAATGAAAGAGACAAGAATCAATGAATAAAAAATGAATAAACAGACTTCCGCCAAGATGGAGGCATAGGTGGAGACGCCTTGCTTTCTCACACAACCAAGTTTGGAGTCAACTAAATATTAGCAACAGAAAACACAGCCAGAACACAGAAAATTGAACTTTTCAGAAGTCTGATAACAACAAATTCTTCAGCCTGACCGGTAAGAGGGGCAAAGCCAGCAGCTGGCGGAACGGGGTTGCACAGGAAAACTGGGTCAGACAGACTCAGGTGCGCAGAACCCAGGCGCAGGGTTGCAACGGGTGGACCTAGTGAGCGACCCAGCGAGCAACCATGGGGAACCAGAGAGGGAGCAGGGCCGAGATTTGACTGTGGTCGTGCATTCGTGCGCAGATAGACCAGCGAGGGAGTGGGTGGTTAGATGGGACCCAGCAGGCCCCAGCAGCGAGCAGCAGCAGAAGGCGCCACCATTTCCCCACTCTGACCCCGCCTCCTCATACAGCGTCATAACCCAGCGACCTGAGTGGCCCTGCCCTGGTGAACCACCTAAGGCTCTGCTCCTCACCCAGCAGTACAAAACAGCAGAGGGAGCTGCCCTTTCCCGTTCTGACCACGCCCCCACATACAGAGTCACAACCCAGCGACCCAGGAGTCCAAGGCTCCGCTCCTCATACTTAACGGGCGCGAACAGACCAAAAATGGCTCAAGAAGATCTCAAAGCCCCAGAGCCTATAAATCTAACCGATGAAGAAATAGCAAAACTCTCAGACGCACAGTTTAAAACACTGGTGATCAGGATGCTCACAGATCTGGTTGATTATAGCCACAAATTAGAGAAACATATGAAAGTGAAACTAATTGAAATAAATGGAATTGCACAGGAAACCAATAGCGATGAAAAGGAAACTGGGACTCAAATCAAGGGAGTGAACCAGAAGGAAGAAAAAAATGGGCAAACAGGAAAATATGAAGAAACAAGAATTCAAAAAAATGAGGAGAGTCTTAGGAACCTCCAGGACATCTTTAACCTCTCCAACATCCGAATTACAGGGGTACCAGAAGGGGGAAAGGCACAGCCACCAGTGGGAAACTTATTTGAACAAATAATAAAGGAGAATTTCCCCAATCTGGCAAAGGAAATAGACTTCTAGGAAATCCAGGAAGCTCAGAGAGTCCCAAAGAAGTTGGACCCAAGAAGGAACACACCAAGGCACATCATCATTACATTAGCCAAGATTAAAATGAAGGAGAGAATCCTAGAAGCAGCAAGAGATAAGGGGACAGTCACCTACAGAGGAGTTCCCATCAGACTGTCAGCGGATTTCTCAAAAGAGACCTTACAGGCAAGAAGGGGCTGGAAAGAGGTATTCCAAGTCATGAAATCCAAAGACCTACATCCAAGATTACTCTATCCAGCAAAGCTTTCATTTAGAATGGAAGGACAGATAAAGTGCTTCTCAGAAAAGATCAAATTCAAGGAGTTCATCATCACAAAGCCCTTACTATATGAAATGTTAAAGGAACTTATCTAAGAAAAAGAAGTTAAAAAAACATGAACAGTGAAAGGACAGCAAACTCACAGTTATTAAGAACCACACCTAAAACAAAAGCAAACTAAAAGGACAGCTAGATCAGGAGTGGAACCATAGAAATGAAGATCACATGGAGGGTTAGCAACAGGGGAGTGGGAGAAGGAGAAGGGGGGAGAAGGTACAGAAAATAAGTAGCATAGATGGTAGATAGAAAATAGATGGGGGGGCAAGAATATTAGGGGAAATATAGAATCTAAAGAACTTGAGACACATGGTCATAAACTAAAGGGGGGGTAATGGTGGGGACACGGGGAGAGGGTGGAGGGGAATGAAGGGGGGAATAGAACAACTGTAATGGCATAATCAATAAAAAAAATAAAATTTAATTAAAAAAATTTTCTTAATGAAAAAAAAAAGAATAAACAATGACCCAAAAAAACCCAATAAAATAAAAAACTTATTCTTTAAAAAGAAAATAAAATAGATAAATTTCTGGTGAGGTTGATCAAGAAAAATAAGGTTCCACACTAAGTGGTTCAGTTGGTTGGAGTATTGTCTTGTAAACCAAAAATCATGGGGTTCGATTCCTGTTCAGGGCACATACCTAAGTTGCCAGTTTGGTCCCTAATCAGGGCATGTGCAAGAGGCAACCAACCATAAGTTTCTCTCTCACATTGATGTTTCTTTCCCTCTCCCTCTCTCCCCTCCCCTGTTTCCCTAAAATCAATAAGCATGTCCTCAGGTGAGGATAAAAAAAAAGAGAAAAATAAGGAAAGACACAAATTACCAATATCAGGAGTAAGAGCGGGAACATCATTATAGATCCTACAAGCATTAAAAGGATAGGAAAGCAATTATGAATTACTTTAAACCAATAAATTCAACATCTTGAATGAAATTAATAAACTCCTTGAAAGATACCATTATCTAAATATCCCTAAGTCTATTAAAGAAACCGAATTCACGGTTTTAAAGCATTCTCACAAAGAAAACTCTGGGCCCAGATGGCTTCACTGATGAATGCTACCAAGTATTTAAGAAAAAATTAACACTAATTCTACACAGGCTTTCAAATATAGAATAAGACAAAATACTTTCTAACTAGTTTCTTGAAGCCAGGATTACCTTGATACAAAAAAATCAGACAAAGAATTAATGAGATCAATATCCTTCGTTAATAAGATTTTAAATTTTAAGACCCACAGACTTAAAATTCTTATAAAATATTAGCAAAAAGAATTTAGCAATATATAAAAAGGATAATACATCATGACCAAGTAGTTCGAACTTTGTCCAACATTAAAAGCCGGTCAATATAATTCATCATATTAGCAAACAATG